ATAAAAGATAAAAATCATTGATCACTAAAAATTTAAAATCTTTTAAATTCTAATTAGATTTTCAAACAAAAGAAGGTAGCATAGGACTCATCTCATATAGCCTCAAACTTCCAGAAAATATTAAAATTCCATCTTGAATAGTTTTTTCACAAAATAGATGTTTGCATTTTTTGATCAGGAATTACCCCAGGTTACCCTACCTATGATGACCTAGAGAAGTAATTAAAATTTACAAATATGTCTTTCTTTTTTGAGTTTATGATTATAACAACTATTTACTGATAAAAAATGAATATTAATCATGAACATAAGCTAATAAAGTATCTCTCTGGCTCTCCCTTACAAACAAATAAATTAAACTGTGTTTTTAAGTTCCACCTTTGAAAGTTTGATTTCCGGAAACTTCTGCGATTAATGATTTTTTGAAACATCTGGACCTTCGAAAACTTCCGGATCACTGTTGGAGAAAAATCCTGAAATCCGGCACAATCAGCCCTGATTATGGGATGATTAACCATTATAATTTTGTTAATTATAAATATTCTAGAGAGATATTTATACCACAAAATATGCTAAGTTACTTTAAATTCATTAACGATTTCACTTTTATATAAAATGTCACAAAAAAAATTTTATAGTACCTAATACCTTTCATTCATATTAAAGTTGTTAAGAGGGTTATTGATGTGTATAATTCAGTTTTAGTTTCTTTTCAGAATGGAATTTCAAGCAGAAAAAAATACACTATAATTTTAAATTGCACTTACCCATTTCTATACTAAATATTTTTTCCCTAAAGTAATTTTCTTTCTGTTTTTATTTGTAAATAATACATTTCGAACTGCCTGTTTCTGTTTCATTTAAGACTAGTGTTCGTATTTTTTTAAAATATTCATTTAATTATTTATTCAAATTTTTCTGCAGATCAAATTGAATTAGAAGCATGAAAAAGGAGATATTCCATCTCAATTCAAAAGGAGAGTTCCTAACTCAGTTACGCATTACTTAAAATATTTTTATTTGAGATTACTCTTTTATACAAAAATACGCAGCTAGAAGCGATGTAGTTTAAATTAAAAATAATAACACCGGCAAACTCCGAACAACTGAATTAGTTTCACTTTGGATTTTGATTGATGTAACGCTATTTATCATGGGTAATATCTTAAAACCTGTTCCTTAAATATTTGCGCCTCTATATTATTATAATCTATAATGATATTCGCTAATTTTTCCTGGATGCTTTTTTTAAATAGATTGTTTTTATGATTTTTAAAACTGATGTAATACTTTTATGTTGTTAAATAAAATTCTTTAATGGTCTTTGAAGTTCTATCACACCATGAGATAGTTAAAATTTCAGTTGGATGAGATAGTTAAAATTCAATTCGAAATTAAAACTTAAATTGTTTTTTTTTAATGGAGGAATTTGTAATAAACCACGAAAAAGAAAAATTGAAAAGAAAATAAATAGATAAAAAGTGAATGCAAATTTTTGATTATATGTTTAGTCTCTTGTATTATCTATCACGTATCACTTTAATTTAGATATGCATAAATCTGGAAAATGTCAATTAAAAATTATTTTTTTAGCAATTTTTGAATTTATTTAGAAATTTGCCTGAAGTGATTGTTGGGGCTTTTTTTTTTTTCAAAAAGCCCTGAGTTTTTTTTTTTTTTTCTTAATCTGAAGGCTGTTATAATAATGAAAAATGGGGCAAACCCTAACCAGGCTGAGCTAGAAAGCTTTATATAGCTGCCCCCTGAAATTCAGTTAAAAAGAAAGCCTCACTTGTTGTCAACCATGAGTCTTTTATCTGTGAATATTTTGGTATTTTGATCTACATTAAAATAATCACTAAATATTGTTGACTACCAGGGAAAATTCTTTTTAAAAAAACATAATTATGAAGATGGACTATCTCCAAGGATTAAACTTCTAGACACCATTCGATAAACTTCTACATAAGTTTTTTAAGAATAAAAATTAAAATTCTCTTTGGCCATCCTTTATATATGATCACGATTCTGTATGGCAGAGAGTAAGCTGTTGTATTCTAATACAGTTCATGTCTTAACGCTAATTGAGTATCAAGTGATTTGTCTGCTCTGTCAGAGCAATCTAGGGAACTAAGCAAAGTAGAGTAGTGCTGCCATTTAATGAAAAATGGGAGAACTACAAGTTTGTTGTCTATGCTCCACGTCCATCACCAGATTCTCTAACCACTATGTAAAAGGGTTTATAATGTACAATCTTGTAATCAGGAAGCATTGCATTGAGAATCTTTATGTAATTACAAATTAAATTTTTAAAATAAAAAAAATTCCTCCATTTAAAAATTTTTTTCAAGAAACTTATAAAAAATGATTAGCTTATGTCTTTTAATTAACCTTTCCTTAACAATTTTAAAATCTTTCTGTCAATATTCGAATTTTTTTTTATTATTATTTATTTCTATGATAGTAACATTTTAAGTTTTTTAATCTCTTCTTTGTAGCTTAACTTGTTGCTTTGTAGCTTTCTTTGTTGTTTAACTTGAACTTCGAATTTCAGCTTCTTCTAGGACTACTGATTCTATACAATCAGAGAAGGATGAAACAGACTTATTTAGGTTTGCTTTTTAATATTCTGGAATATTGATATATAAATATATATATGTAACATAAAAAGCTTTAATTCATCTTTTCATGTTATTCTTTTTCTGTAAATCCTTTTCTTAATTTACTATTCAAAACAAAACACTCTTTCTCTCACTTTTAAATTCACATCCTGAACTTTAATCTATTTTTGGCTCAAGTATGCATTAATTAAAAGTAAGGCATTTTTCCCTTTGCTTTTTGTGGGAATTGCGCAACCTATTTAATAAACCAATTATAATTATTTATGTTTACCTTTTTTCTTGAGATAAAATAAAATAGAGGGAAATTCATTTGCTACTTTCCCTAGGATAAAAACTAAATCACAGAAATTTTGGGGTGCAATTTGAGCTCCACTATTGCTAAAAAAATTCTTTGAATATACTGAAGTATTTTGAATATGTGAAGCTCAATAAAAATATTTTTGCCTGTGCTTTGAAAAGCATTGCATATAAATATTGTTCATAAAATTGCAAGGTCCCTTTTCGGTTACTCTACAATAACATTTCATAATGCTTATCTTTGTTATTCGCTAGCAAACTTGATAAAAGCTTGAAAAGAAATTGTTTAAAAAAAAACTACCTAACTAGCGCAATAAATTTTATTTCAAGCAACTTTGAAAAAAATCTCCGTATTTATGTTTGTCATTAAAATTCATTCCAATTATAAGGTTCCAAAATTCATCTCCAGTTGTCAAAAAATATAAATCTTTTGTTTTTCTTTTATTTGTAAAAAAAATTTTAAATATTGCCATAAAATGGAATCTTTTGTTTTAAATATTGCCATAAAATTAACTGATATTTAAAGCAAATGTAGTCTGAGTATTTATTTAAAGGTGAAAGTACTTCTGGTGTTGAAAATGTAATGAAATTGAGTATTCTACAAAGAAAGTTTGAAACCTAAATTTTCTTGACAAATAAGTACAACAAACTTTAGTCAAAATACATTTTTCTAATATTTTTATAGTAGGCATTATTTGCTATACTTTCTGTTTTAGTTTTTGAGAAAAACTTATATTGCTCTTATTATATCAAGTTATTTTCAAATTACTATCTTTAACTGAAACAAAATTCAATGGAACTTCTTAAAACTAGTTTTATTTATTTAATTTTATTTTTGTGATCCTTTTCTAAGCTTTCAAATTGACTACTCTGTATATAAGTAAGGCCGTACTCAAGCTGGGGATCATGAGATTGATGAAGATAATGTTTTATTTTATTTTCATGTATTTTCTTCTAGTCCAGAGAATTACTGCTTTGGTGATTCTCCTTTTTCAAAGCTATTGAAGTCTGCTGATGTGTTAATAAATACTGATGATTTTGTTTTTTCCATGGCTTATGATAAAATTGGAAAATGCCTTATCTTCAATCACACTGTATGTATGCAATTTTTTTATTATTGTTTTTTATAATTATTTGAAGAATATTAAAAAAATGCTTAAGAAATTTTGTCCTGGAGTGATTTCATATTTGCCGAATTACAGAAAATTGTGTATTTTTGTTTTAACTATTTAAATTATGTTTTATGTTAACTGTTATTTGCCTTTTTTTTTGTTGCTATTATGTCACTTTTATTAAAATTGCATCTCTTAATAAATAGATGTTACTAAAAATAAAATAGTATACTCTTATAGATTTAGTATTCTTTTATAGATATGTTATTTGTTTTTTTATTTTTTAACAATTTCGATAAAAATATTTTAACTTCATATAATTTCAGTTTATGTAATTTTAAAAATCATTATAAGTAGAGTAGTTTCTTTATTTATGACCAATTGAAGCTTTTTTTTTATATATATACATGCTCTTCAATTATTATTGTAGACAACCAACCAAAATTATAATAATGTTCATTTTGAAGACTATATTTCTCTTCTCTCATTTTAAGCCTTCTTTGGAATATTTCACCTTTAGATTGCAAACATATATATTTAAGATGAGGAAATTAAAAATTGCTTAACTTATATGCATGTTATGAATCATTTATTTAGTTTCTAATTATTAAAACATTCATTAATTTTGTATTTTAGTAGATGACACCACAGATTCTAATCACACCACAGTTTCTAATCACTTCATAATTTTTACTTCCTTTTTGTTCGTTTGGTTAATTAAAGATATGATTTATTTACAATTCTTAAAGTTCTATGCTTTGGGACTGAGTACTAATTTTGCAACGCAGCATAACGAATAGAAAGCATAAACCTTTAGCATTTTTAATAATATGCATTTTTTGTAAAAAATTACAAAAATATGTATATATATAAATATTTGAATAAAATCAACCACTTATTGAAATTGTATTTATTAATTATTGATAAAAATGTGACTACAATTACCCACACTTCATTTCCCCCCCTCTTGAGTTCTTGTTGAGAAATCTTCATAATTTTAATTTTAGTAAATTGGCCCATTTTCTAAATGTACCTATATGAAGCTAAACCTATATGTACCTATATGAAGCTGTACCTATATGAAGCTAAGTGTCTATATTTTCGGTCTGTACTAAACATCTGTGTCTATACTAAAACATAACAACAAAAGTGGCTATACTAAATGTCGGGTTGATCTGTTAATTGATATGTTTAAAATGTTTTATTGAAAATTAATTACTAGCGATTCTAATTCCAAAAAAAAATTTTTATGGCTACTTTTGTTTGTCAGTTAGCTTCAGCTTTATTTTGCTGAATATAAAATGCTTTTTTTATATTCTCTTTATTAGGCATACAGCCCAAATTTAGAACTAAAACCAAGATCTTGTGGTGATCCTGATGCAAAAAGATTTAAACTCCTGTTCGAAGAGCTAGATTTTGATGTCGAAATATGCAAAAATCATGAGTATTGTGAAATTATGAAAGAATTATCTGAAGGTTTATAGTTATACATTTTATCATGCAATTTAATTTCTAATGGGAAGAAAATATTTAAAAGATTAGCTATTGTGAGATGATGTACATAAAAATAAAGTTCAGTACTTCTGAGTTTTGACTGACAGATGTTAAAAGAATTGCTGTATACCATACTATATTTGGAGTTCTCAGGACTGCCAACATCCCAGATTTTGCCTTTTTTTCTAGATTGTGGTAAGAACTTAGAATTGAGGCTGTAATAAATATTCTTCCACCATTCAGTATTTGACCTATTCACCGAATATTCAGTTGGCCGAATGTTAGGCCGAATATTTTTTGAAAAATCATTTTTTTACTGAATTTTTTTTTCAATTTGAATAGATTAAATAAAGAATAATCTAAAATGGTATTTTTTTTTTTACTATGTACAGTGGTGCCATTCTTCAGTCCTGAGGACTGAAATCGGTCTTGAGAAAAGATCAGTGGGATGAAATCCAATTTCATCATTTTTTTACTGAATTTTTTTTTTAAATTTAAATAGATTAAATAAAGAATAATCTAAAATGGTATTTTCTTTTACTATATACAGTGGGCCATTCTACAGTCCTGAGGACTGAAATCGGTCTTGAGAAAAGATCAGTGGGATGAAATCCAATTTCCAATTAATATTTATTCCCATTTAGTTGTGTAAATAAGTTTTGGAAATAAAAATTAAAATGTCTTTTTTTCTGTAATAAAATATTAACTAATATTTTCTGCCAAATCAATAAAAAATATAGGATTATTTTTAAAAAAAAACAAATCCTACAGAAAGGGTCTTGGACATAATTAATATGGTTAAGTTGTTTAACACCCCTGCATCTTGTAAGAACTTGGTAGGTAGACTTGTTTGGTAGGTAACAAGACTTGTTTGGACCCTCAGACTTGTTTGGTAGGTAAGCAACATCCCTACACTTAAGCCACTATGAATATCTTAGAGGCTCTTCACCCTGATCCAGTCAGATTTCCTCACTGAGTATTGATTTAAGAGAAATTAATCAATATTTTTCTTAATTATCAAAGTTTAACTCCATTTGTAATCTTATCTGTAAAGAATTGGTGTTAAAATTTGATTTGCTTCATATTTCAAGAAATAATAATTAATTATTTAAATTCTCTTAAAATTATTACAATAGATCTGTAGTTGATATCTAATCTATGTAAAGATAGTGGTTTGATTAAAATTTGATTTGATTCATGTTTTAAGAATTAATATTTACCAGTTATTTATTAAATTATCATTGTACGGCTTTATTCATAATAGCTCACATAGGGATTTCAATTATAATTAAATTATTGTGACTGGGGAAGACTGATTATTTCATTTCCATTATTAAACAGTTTTCAGTGATGTAATTTTATCCGCCTGTTGATTAATTGGTTCTTTAAATGTTGCTGTTTGAATATCTATAAATTGCATAAATATTTGTAATTTGGTGTAAAAAAGTAATAAATTATGCTATTTCATTTCCATTATTAAGCAGTTTTCAATGATTTAATTTTATCCGCCTGTTGATTAATTGGTTCTTTAAATGTTGCTGTTTGAATGTCTATAAATTGCATAAATATTTGTAATTTGGTGTACAAAAATAATAAATTATGCTAAAGTTAAATTTGATTTGATCTAGGTAAAAAATTTTTTTTTAAAAAACTGTCTTCAAATTGGCATGTCTCAGTATTTTTATAAATGTATTTTTTGAAAACTTGTGCTTATTTTGTTATAAAATTTAAAATTATAACTTTAATTTGCATCCATAACGTTGTTTATATTATTTTAAAATATATCTTTTTTTCTTTTTGAAGTTAATGAAGCTGGCTTTGATAATTATGGTTGTTTTGTATGCTGCATTATGACTCATGGTTTTTGCAATGGAATGTTGTATGCATATGACACCGAGTATCGTATAGATGATGTGTGGGATTATTTTTGCTCTGATAAATGTCCAACTTTGGCTAAGAAGCCAAAAATATTTATTATACAAGTAATCATTTTGTATTTTTATGTAAAGTCTTTTATTTTGTGCATTTGTAATTTTTTTTGTAGCATTTTGTATTATTCATACAGTAGACTCTCAATTGATTAGGAAATGCTTCATCCCAGATAATCCCATTTATTCAACTTTTGATGAAAAATGATAAATAATGTAAAATAATTACGCAATAGAGCATTATTCGTTAATTTGATTCAAAAGAAAAAGAATTAACGAAATTAATAATTTATTATCTGTTGAATGGTGTGATGACCAATCTCATATTCATGCATTAAGTAATAATTTAACTGTTTTTCCATTTTTTTAATTTCAATATTTTTAGCTTTTGATTTATACTAAGAATGATTCTTTTGCAATTTGACATGTAAAAAATACGAACTGAATGTAAAGCTTGCAAAAAAAATTTTAATCTGAACAACTGTGATACCTTGGAAAAGATTGAATCATATCTCGCCTTGTTGCACCCGCAAGTGTTCTAGAATGGGAGCTAAACTGATTGGCTGTACTCAAGGTCAGCTGTACAAGTCCAATAAAATAGGAAGGAATAATTATGAGTAAAATATGTATGTACTTTCCTGTACATTTTAAAGGCTGGAATCCTGATGACTCGGGAGATAGAGCGTTCGCCATCCAATGATCAATCCCGGTGATGACTGGTCGATACGAATTCTGCATCCGGTTTGCACCGACCACAGTGCTGTCGTGAAATATTCTCAGTGGTAGACAGATCATGGGTTAGAGTCCCCTTGACATCAGACTAACAGTGGGAGGTTCTCGTGGTCTTATTATCCATGTAACGCAAATGCAGGTTAATTCCATCAAAAAGTCCTCCACGAAGACAAATTTCTCCCAATACTTAATCCAGGAGTTCCCTTGTCTTCTGGATTGGGTTCAAAATTACAAGGATACGGAGTTGAACATTAGTAGGCGTAAACCCAAGAATTGGGTTGGCTGTTCAACGACGGTTATAAAAAAAAAGGCTGATATCCTTGCTTTTTCTGGAGTGTTGTCCTGGATAATTTGATCCCATTAATCGAGCATTGTTAATCGACGTCCGGTTAATTGACATAATTTTTATAATATAATTTTTTGTATTACATATTAAATTATGCTTCTAGTAACATATAAACATTACAGCAAAAGCCTTTTTCTTACTCTGCAGCAATTTTCAAAATTTATGTTTTGATGTTGAAATGCTATTTTTTTTTTATTATATTTGAATAATTGTAATTTTTAGTTTTGAAATTGGTTTTTGAAGAATAAAAAAAGGTACATTGTTGGAAAAAAAAGCAAGAGATATTTTAAATATGATTCAATCATTTTTTTTTTACATCTTAATTAAAGTAGTTTGTTTTAATTATATATTTAGCTCAATGATTTTAAAATTCAATGTTGTTTCTTGATATTTAAAATTTTTATATTAGAACAAAACCCAATTAATCTTTAAAGCCCATTAAGTTTCCATTTACAAAATTATTACTTAATAATAAAAAAAGTTTCATATTTTGGTAAAAGATTTTTTTTTTTTTAATTTAACATGCTTGAAGTTTAAAACAAATGAAATTATATCCTAATAGTTTATTTTCATAAATGTAGCTTTGTAGAAAAACAGAAACTTTTATTAGTCAGTAGAAAGTTACTTACTTATTTTGTGGTACCAGATTTTGTAGGGTAATGAAACAAGTTATTTAAATTGTTTATTATTAGGTATTTGAAATTTATTTATTTTTAATTATAACTACTACAGTATTAAGTGATCTAAAGTATTTTGTGTTTCATAATTCATGTTTTCTGCTTTCACCTCGAAAACAAATTTTCAACTTAGTATTATATTCTGCATTACTTATGGCATACTTGAAGCTTTCTTTTTTGAACCACATAAATTGCAATTGCAAAATTTTTAGGTTAAACATTCTTCAGATATTTTTGTTGATTGTACATACCATCATTAATGTGATTTTCCAAATTATTTGGTACCATCATGTGGGGCTACTTTGTGCAAATTCGAATTTGGCACTTTTCAAGTGCTGCTATTCAGTATTGTGTTTTTTTCATGTTAAAAATGAGTGGAATTTGAAGATAGAAGTCTCCTCTATTACTACAAACATTTCTTCGAATTTTAAAACAATCTCAGAGTGTGTTTTGTTTATCCAATGTCAACAACTTTCCGAGAACGTCGGACGTGGAAAAGTGTGCGTGGAAACTTTAGCTGTGAAAGGCAAAGACGTTGATAAAAAAATTGTCGCAAGTACAAAATTTTTTATTTATATATTAATAAACAATTATATCATGTTAGCATTAAAAAATTTTGAAAATTAATAACAAATAAACGGAAAATTAAAAAAAATGCACTGTGGGGCTATTTTGTGCAAAGTTTCATTTGCTTTTTTTTTCGACAGGAAAATGGTCAGATGTTATAAAAAAATACCTGGAACGAGAAACTACCGTGATTGCACTTTAGAAAAGCTGCAACAATGTTTGCAAGCAGTTGCTGGTGGTATGTGGATTGCAGAAGCTTCTCAGAAGTACAAAATCCACAGAAATACTATCTCTAATAAAATTCACAAGAAACACATGAAACATGCTAGTAAACTATTATTTTCCTTCTACAAAGATTTTTCAATGAATTAATCAAATGATTCAACACATAAAAATATATTTTATAGGTTATCATCAGGTGATTTTGACAGAAACTAAAGAGCAAATTCTGTCATATTCATTCAAGCATGTTATGTTCAAATTTATCAATATTATAAATGTTAATGAATATGTAATAATTATTTTTTTTTGAAATTTCATCTATTTCAATGTTCAAAAATGTATATGGTTTCCTTTTAAACTCAAATATTTTGAAATAAACATTCTTTTTAAGAAAAAATTCTTTATAAAAAATGGTTTTTTAACGCTGAAAATTATTTTCATACTAATATCTTTCCATATCTTGATGTTTTTGTTATTAAAAATGTCAACAATTAACTTTTTTAACAATTTTATATCAATATTTTACTAAAAACATGATTATTAAACTGAATTCCTATCGCTGCACAAAGTAGCCCACTTGGGGGCTACTTTGTGCAAGGTATGTTTTGACTTATAATTTGTAAATAATACATACAAATAATGCCAATATTGATCAGATTCACTCGTCTGAGTCCAGTTATGAATATAATATTCATAAATTTTACTGAAGTTTGAATTAACATAGTTTTTTTACATGTCAGAGTTCAAAAACTGCGAAATCCTGCACAAAGTAGCCCAACATGACGGTACCAATGAATAACCAAAAACCTTTTAATTGCTGAAAACAAGAGCATCTGCAGAAATACTATCCAAAAAATTTTCACAAATAATTTAAATAATTTGTTTAATGTTACAAAACCTAAAGCCTATAGGATATAATTTAAATTTTATGCATTTAACTTTTAGAAAGTAAAAGCTAATTATCTGTAAACATTGTTGTCTTGAAAATAAATATAATTTAAGCACAATAAAAATAGACAATTTTGTGTTTTATTAATTTTTTTTTTAAATTTTGAAATAATACAAATACTATATATAAAGTTGCAAGATAAACCATGGTAATATATAATAAAAATTACACAGTACACACATATTTGTTCATCGTAAGATACTATTTAAAAATACAACTTTTTAAGATTTCGATTAAAAATGCAAATAAAACTTAAAAATCAACTGAGTCTATAGCACATTATCATACAATGGAATTCTGGTCTTATTTAAAATAAATTAAATATTATCATTTAAAGATAAATATAATTTTAATTATGTTAGATTTTCTGGGAATACAAATGTACCCTCTTGACCTTTGCCTTTAAAGCTGGGTTTTATGATGAAGCACTTTAAACAAAACATTCAAAGATCAACAACATCATGACATTACATAAAAATAGTTTTCTGTTAATGAATAAGTTAGAAAAAAAAATGATGAAAATACAGTCCTTAATCTAGTTGCCATGCCAAAGAATTCTGTAAGTGTTGAAAACTTCTATATCACTATTTTATTGAAAGGCAAAATTCTGCATAAAACACATTTTTGCTAAATCACATTGATTAGACTTAAAATGCAATTGAATTGAATTGAGTTCATCACAGCACTAAAGAAGAAAATAAATTGATAAAGTGATAGAATAAATAAAAAATGCTAATTTAAGTTTTTTATTTCCATAGTTTTCTATAAAAGGCTGCATGCTGTTGAGATTAATTTAAATGAAAATGTACCCTTTTTTTAGAATCAGAGTATGCATTTAATACCCTACTGTTTGTACAGTTATTACTAATAAATTTTTGTTGCTAATTGTTTAAGTGGAACTAATTTATAAAAGTAAAGGAAGAAAAAAGCTTAGAATTTGAGAAAAGTTTTAATTTTGAAATTTACAATTTAGGCATGCAGAGGAGAGGACCCTAACTTTGGACAAAAGGTTTCATTTTGTCGAGAGTCAGAGGATTTGGGAGACTCTGAAGAAGCGGATTTGAAAAATATTGAAGATGGAATTAGTCTTATTCCAGATTCTCCTATTTACAGCGATTTCCTCACTGCTTATTCAACATATGATGGCTAGTAAAGTTTTGATTTTTTAAAATTTTATTTATTATAAAATAAACAAGTATGCTTATTTTTACCTTTCGATTTATGTTGTTTTTATATTTATAAATTATCAAAATTGTGGTTCAATTTATAAAAACTCTAATGAGGAAAAAACGGGCAACTTTCTTAACTCTGCTTAAATGAGTTAACTCTACTTAAACTGGCTACTTTGGTGTCCTAGACTGTTGACACTCTAGAAAAAATCACTGTCTTATCATCAGATAAGTGATTGTGCACAGATCACTTCTGAGGAGTGATTTTTCTGCAAGAAGTTTTTGATATCTATATAGCAGTTTTTTTTCTTCATGGATTAGTCAGTGAGAAATAAAGAATATGAATTTGTAAAAGTGAAAAAACACCACAGGTTTGACAATACAGTGTTTAGCATTAAGAGATGCAGTTTTGTGGACACTTAAGCAATTGCTTGCAATTAATAATTAAATTTTTTCTTGGAATATATTCCATTCAAAATAGGTCAACAGTGTACAACAAGTTTGTATGAAGGAATTGTCTGACCATTACAAACAATTACATTTCGTTACGAATAGAGTAAACTTATATTCAAATTCAGTCCTCTTAATTCATATATCATAAGATAAATTGAAAGACTTACCCTTATAAGGAGGATTTGTAAAAGAGAAATTGTAGATTCAGCTATTGAAAAGGAAGGTTTTCAAAGCACTTTTGAAGAAAAAAAAAAGCCTTTTATTTTCAAAAGATTTCACATGTGGAGCTACAGTTATTGGTAAATTGAAGATATTTAGTAAAAATCACCAAAAAATTTTTTGCATCGTGCAAAAAGTCAAAAAAATATTTGATTGGGAAATTGCTTAAGAGTTGTGAAAGCAATTTGAAATATTTTAAGTTTCTGCAATGTCTAAAAATTTCTGATGAGAAAAGTTCTCTTTTAAAATCATGTTAAGGAAATATTTGATTTGGAAATTGTTTTAGAGTTGTGAAAGCAATTTAAAGTATTTTAATTTTCTCCAATGTCAAAACATTTCTGATGAGAAAATTTGTGAAAATGTTCTAAAAATCACTAATTGATTACCAAGATCAATAAATCTAAATGAATGGCATTTACTCCAAATTGAAAAAATAAACTTAAATCATGATATTAGAAATGATAATTTCTGGTGTACAGTACTTAAAATGAAAGATGCTGTTATCCAGACAAAATGAGAAGAAGGTACTCAAAATGTATTTTGTCTATTAATCATATTAGCATTAATAACTTTTTATATTTAAAATTATTACACAAGCTAGTCGTCATACTGCACAAAGTATAAAATTAGGCTTTTATGTGGGTAAAGTGCAATTGTAAATCAAAAATCATCATCATAGTTGGCCAGACAGCCCAATGTGAGCCAATGCCTTTCTCTGAAGATTTCTCCATGACGACCTCTGATTCACCTTTGATCTCCAATTCTTTTCATTAATTACGAGAAAATCAGACTCCTGAGTCAGCCCATCTCAACTGCGGCCTTTCCCACTCTCTTGTTCCAGTGGGTCTAAAAAGCAGTATCTTTTTTATTGTATTGTCACCACTGATTTGAATCACTTGGGCCATCCGATTCATTCTATTTATTTTTTATGTATTTAGTAATATCAGTTTGTTTATAAATCTTGTACAGTTCAAAGTTAAATCTCCTTCTCCAGTTATGGTTTTCATTTACACCACCAAGTATACCCCGCAAAATCTTTCTCTCAAATATTACGATACAATTTTCCTCCTGTTTTGTCATTGTCCAAGCTTCTGAATTGTATTTCAAGACTGGCTGGGTTCAAAATTGGCAATTTGCTTGTTTCAAAATTGTAATGTATACATTAAATGCATTTTGCAACAAATATTTTTTAGTATAGTTCTTTAAAGTCTATGTTTAACTAAATTTTGTCAAATACTTTGATTATCTTTATTGCTAAATTGACTTTTTTTAGCTATAGATTATTTCTAATATGATTTTTTTTAAAAAATATAATTTAATCTAAGCAAATAAAAAGGTTTGCAGAAAGTGGCTATGAAATGAAAAGGACTTATCAGTATTGGTCACTGATTCATTCTGTTTGATAAAAAAAAAAGAAGTGTCGTAGGGAAATAAAATTAATCTAACAAAGCAAGCAATGATTCCATGATTACCAATTAACTTCTTTAAAATCTATGCATATATTATTTAACTGAAACTGGCAGAATTTTTTTCGTCACAAAATAAATGAGGCTCACGTTTTATTGTAACATTTTGTAATGAATTGGAAAAAAATCACAAGAAACTATACTTGGTATCAATTTAGACAATGGTCAATATTAATGAAGACAACAGAATTAAAACTTATTTTAAAAAACAAAAACAGTAAATCGGAAAGAAAGCAATGATTCTGTGTCATTATTGTACTAATTAACTTCTTTAAAATTCATACTTTACTAACTGACATTTTTTTTCAATTGACAGGATTTTTTTCATTCAGAAATTCACATTTCTCATATTTTATCACAGCATTCTGTGATAAATTGAAACAAAATCACAAGAAACTGGATTTGGTATCAATTTTGACATTGGTCAATTTTGAAATTGCCTACAATTTTAGAAGTCACAGTAAGGATCCCTCAGAAAACAATCTAAAACAGATGACGTGCTTTGATTCTTCATTGACAAAATTGGTTAGGTTTCCATAGTATATTTTTGCCATGTAAGTATACAAGACTTTTTTTTATAATTAATGTTTTTATTTTATTGCTTTTATAATAATTCATTGCTTATAAATTTATCGGTAATAATAGTATTTATCTCATTTTATTACTCATAAAATAACTTTATTTAATAATAAATTGATAAATATTAGTGTCTTTGTGAAAATCGGGTACATCAAAAACTAAACATTTTTGATGTTTCAACTCCAGCTTTTCTCCCAGATGATAAACTAAGGCTCCAGCAATTTTACTACATGCGTGATTTTGAGTTTGATTTTAATCTGAAATTTGGCATGCATAAAATTGCAACATAATAATCAGCTCACACAGATTTAATTTATAGTTCTGATAATGGGATTGGATGCTGGAAATGGGAAATCTCCAAAGCTTTCCGAACTCCTGTTCCAAGTTCCTGATGAGCCAGATTTAGAAAATCTTTTTTTTTTCTACTGATGAATCTTTTATTTTATTAAACAAGGAAAAGCTATCAAAGTGATGCAAAGCAGTAAATATTGTATGCAGGGTTGGCAAGATTTTGCCGCAGGTGGAAAAAACCATGGTAAATACCGGTAAAAACCGTCCTGGCAAAAACAGGTTTTTGCCAAGCAAATTGGCAAAAAGTGGCAAAAACCTATATTTTCCAAGATGAGAGGACAAAAACACATTTTTGATACAAAATTATTCCTAAAATTGAAATATATACTATGAATATAAATAATTACCAAAAAATGAACAAAATTATTATTCCATAATAAAATGATAATGTAATAATATATCACTTTAGTAGTTTAAAGCATTATTAATTGGAAAATTTGCGATTATTCTCTTTTTTCCAGTGAAATGAACTTATTTTAAAGTAATATAACTATAATTTAAAGCATAAAATATCTATCAACATGTGTAGTTAATTATTATAGAAATAATAATTTTTTATAATATATGATAATATTATACAAATAATAATATTTATTTATAAAAAGCATTTATTTTAGGAGATCATATA